TTAATAATAACTACTTTATTCATCTTTTTTTAATAAATAAGGTTAAGTAGTTAATAATCTTCCTAAAAATTAATTATTATTTTATGAATAAAGCATAAAATTTAATTTTAAAGTAACTGCTTTTGATTCTGTATTCTTTTTTGTTTGTTTGTTTTATATATATATATATTACAAAAATATAAATTTAAAAAACATACTTGTATTGAATAATTTAGATTAATTAAATTTTTTAAAATAAATTAAAAAAATTAAGTAGGCTTATTTTGATTTATTGAGTTTTTATTCAAAATAAATTTATTTTATTTTCTGAATTTATTCCATTTTATAATATTTAAACATTCTTAATTATTATCTATATTTTAGAACTTTTATTTAGTTTTTTTTTTTAATAAAAAAAATAAATAAATAACATATAAATATATACTCTTTTCCTTTACTCCAAAAAATAATTCTTTTATTAATTTTATACTTAATTATTATCTTATTATTGTCTTTAACTTTTATTTAATTTTTGACTTTTTTAATTTTAAGAAACTTTCTGTTTCTCTTTTAATATTTCTTATTTTTCTTTCATAATTTATTCCTTTTCTTTCTAAACTTACTACTAACTCTGTTTTAATTCTTATTATTATTTTTCAAACTATTATTTTTATAATTCTAATAATTACTATTATTATTTTAGTAATTATTTCATTTCTTCCATGCTTAATTCCATTTGTATTTTTTTTTATTTTATTAATATATTTTTTTTATTTAAAATAAATTAATTAAATTTTTTAAAAAAGTTGTCAAAAAAATAATATTATTTTTTTTTTAAAAAAAAAACACATATATATATGTATATAAATATATAAATATATATATATATATATATATATAAATATATATATATACATGTATTTATATTTTTATATTAAAATTATCATTATTTAATAAATAAATTTTTTAATTTCTATATAAAATTTTGAATAAAACCACTCTAAATATCTTAGCAAGATTAAATTTTAACTTCTCCTTTATAATTTTCACATACAAACTTTAACAAATTCTCACTAACTTAATTTTCTTATTAAGTATTATGTACTCCATTTACCAAAACCCAAGGTACATATTCATGAGCTGGCTATAATTATTCAGTTCTTTCAGCCATTTTAATAATTAGTGTTTTTCCTTCTTTGTTATTTGCACAATTATGGATATTAGTTTATATATTTTGCTATATTTTTAAAGAATTTCCACAAGTCTTTATTAATTAGTCGAAATTTAAACTATTTAACATTTATTATTAAACTCCATTATTTTCAATACAAGTAATAAATCTTAAAAGGGTTAATTTATCATTTTAGAGGTAGTTTATGGCACATGTTTCGACTAAATTTCCATAGCATTCGTTTGAACCATGCTAACAGGTTATTTAATTTTTAGAATCTCTTTTAGCATTTCCATATGGAATAATTTGAATGTCAGTTATTTGGAGAATTTGATCATCTGCTAAGGCTTTTTTTAAAGAAGAGGATATCAAATCTATACAATCAGGGCATAAAGATTCTGTATAAAGTTCTATTTTAACACGGTCATCTTATTTAGATAAAAATAAATATGATATTATTAAGAATAGTATTAATGATTATTTCATTTATATAGTTTATCCCTTTTTGTTTTGTTTTTTTTTTTATTTATTATAAAAATTTAACAAATTATTTTATCAATTTTCCACTAAAATAATATATTATTTTTGTTATATTTATAAAAGAATTTTAATATTTAGATTTTCTTGTTTTTTTTGTTTTAATTTTCTTGTTTTTTTTTGTTTTAATTTTTTAGTTTTTTTTGTTTTAATTATATATGTTTATTTAATATTATATATAACAAAAAATATTTGCTTTTAATTTTTTTTTTTTTTTTTTCGTTGAAATAAGTCTTTCAAATTTTTTAAAGCTTTTTTTCATTAATCCTAAAATATTCTAAATTCTAAAATATTTATTTAGCTAAATCTTTGTATTTCATTTCATAAGAATTGCTAATTATTTGTATTTCACCTATTATATTTAAGCATCTTAGTAACTATTTTTATTACAATAATTATTAAGAAATAAGCATTTATTGTACTTTCTTAATACTTTGTACATAATTTTATTTGACTAAAAGATTATCAAAAACTACCTTATGAATAGAATCATAAAAAGCCTTTTCAATTAAATTAAAGAAAGGGTGTTAAATAATAGAAGAATCAGTAAAAGAAATAAAATTTAGATATAAAAAAGGATGATAATAATTAAAGAATAGTGTTTTTTCTTAATTATTAGCAATTACAAGGCTGTTAAAAGAAATGTCTATAAAATATTCTAATTTTTAAAGAATTTTTTTTTCAGAAACCCTATTATTTTCAATCAGAGAAATAGTCTATTTTTTGGCTAAAAAAAACCGTAAATTTCATCAATAGAAGAAACTTATTTATTTAAGTTTTCATCTATTTCAGAAATGATTTTAAAACAAAAAATAAAGTCTTTAAAATCATCTATTTTTTCTTCAAAGTTTTAAATGTTTAATTTTTTTATATTTTCAAAGTTTTATTCAACTTTATATTTAAAAGAATTATATATGTAAGTTTATATATGTATAATAGAGTTTACTTTTATATAATTATATTATATTATCAATATGGCTTATAGAAATAATATCAATTAAATCAAATTCTTAAGGTTTATCTTAGAAATAATTTTCTTAATGATAATAAAGAAAATAGAAATACAAATATATTACTATATAAGAAAATGAATAAATGAATTTTATTTAATTTAAAGTTTGGGTTTTTTCACATATAAAAGGAAATCTTTTGATTTCATCTATTTTAAAATTAAAAAACATACTGTTAGTTTTTTCCAAAAAATGTTTGTATTAGTTAAATATGTTTTTTTCTGTGTTTATATGATCTTCATTTATTTAAGTTTAATTATTTTTATAGTCTATAAAGAATTATAGAATTAATAATTAAAAACTTTTTTTATTATATTTTTTTTGGTATTCTTCTATATTTTATTTTGTGAATTATTTTGAAAGAATTTCAATATAATTTATTGATTTTTTAACATTTTCTAAAAAAATATTCATTTTTTATTTATTTTTTTAAATAAATAAAATATTATTTTGCTAAAAAAAAAAAAAGTAAATTATATATATATATAAATTGATATATTTTTTTTAGCAAAAAAAAAATAATAAAAAAAATGTTTTTTTTTTTTTTCAATAAAAATAGTTTTTTTTTTTTGAAATCTTATTAATTATTTAGGCAACACTTTCTGTCTTTTTTTAAGTAATTAAAATAAATCAAAAGTCCATATAATTTATTAAAAAATAATTAAAAATACACCCTATTTAAGTAAACTTTAATATCTTATACATCCAAGAATCATATTCCTTATAATTAGTATATATAATTCTAAAACAAAAATATAATATTAATAAAAGAAAAGTAAAAAAATCCTTACAAAAAATAATAGTAATAAGTTAATAAATAATATTAATAACAAAAAATTCAATACATATTAATTATTATTATTTTTGTATTATTTTCTCAATATCATTTTTATTTAATTTTCAAAAAGCTCTAATATTATTATTATTATATAAAGGTTTATTTTAAAATTCAATTAAGTTTTAATTTTTTATAAGGTAAAACTTTTTTATTTGATTTTTTTTGTTTTGTTTCTTATTTTTTATCTCATTTTCCTGATATAATAGTTTTAGACATTTCAAGAATATCAAATAAGTGGATATTAAAGCAAAACAAAAACATACGTAATATATATTTTTTTGTTTAAATGGAAAAGAGACACAGCGTTTAAAATACAATTAATTATTAAAATCATTACAGTTTTCAATTTATGTATTTGGATTATTTTCATTTTTATTTTATTATATATTAATCTATATTTTTTATTATTATTGTATTCACTTTTATCTTATTGTTAATATTATTTTTCTATTTTGGAAATTTGTATCTTTATTTTTTAGAATCTAATTTAGCCATATTTATTATTAAAACCTCTCTCATTTTGTAAACTTAAATCAAGAGAATAGTTTATATTTAATTATCTGTATTATTATTGATTTATAAAAGATATGTTATTATAATTAATTAAATTATTATTGTATATATACAATATTTTAGGCATTTTTTTTTTTTTTTCTGCTTTTAAACAACCAATAAATTATTAAAATCAAAAGAAGAATTATGCCCAAAAAATCTATATATTTATTAAAGATATTATTCAATATTTATCGTCCTATTTATTTTAATGTTTATTAATATTTTTGATTGACATTTTTTGTATTAGATCTTTATTAGAAAATGGCAGAGGTTTTTAATTTTAAATATAAAAGGGGGGGGGGGGGGAGGGGGAGAATAAGACAGAGTTAATATTTTCAGGTACATTTTAAGGTGCCAAATATTAATCTAAATTTCTAATAATTTTGGTAATTTTACAAAAAGAAGTTTCTAATGTTATAATTAAAATTTACATATATATATATATATATATATTATGTATTAAATAATTATTTTTTCATAATTTTTTTATTTAACAAAAAATAGTGTATTTATTTTATATGTTCTCTAGTATTTTTTTTTTTTTTAAATAAAAAAAAAATAATAATTTATTTATAATATATATAAAAAAAAACTAATTTAATACATAAGTATAATTTATTTTATTATATATTTTCATTATATTAATAAAGCTTAATTTATTATTTAATTTTAACCGTCTAATTTATTTTTTTCCTCGTTTTTAATAATTGTTTATAAAATAGTTTAATTATTTGGAACTTTATTTTCTAGGTCATTTATATTATTTTCACTTATTTTCATATTATAATCTTCGAAAATCTAAAAATTATCGTTTCCATTCATTTAAACACCTAAATCACAACTATTATTTGCGTTTATGCTATTATTATTGAAGTGTTTTATACCTAGAGGTGGTTTTTTGTGTATTTTTTCATTTTAAATAGAAGACTTTGAGCATTATGATACTTTGTTTATATATTTAGGACTATTTGATTCTGTTTTAATTAAAAAACTTAATATATATATATATATATATATTAATATTACTTTTATTGATATTTATTTCTAGAGTTTCATTATTTTAGTAATTTTTTTCTTTTTAAAAATTCTTAGAATCTATATTTTAAGAACTTTTTTTAATGAAAAAATTGTTATTAATTAAGACTATAATTTTACATATTAATAGTTTATTAAGGATTTTTATTTTCCAAATCTTAAAAAAGTTAATCATTTGCATAATTCTTTTTTACAAATTCTATTTTTTTTTATAAATTAATCATTTTTAACGTAAATCTATAATTTTTTATTATATTTCGGCTTTTTCCAGTAATTTTTTCTTTAGAATTCGATTAATTATTTCTATTTTTATTTTTTTATTTTTCATCTTTCTTTTTTTTGATATTTTTTTTTTTTTTTTTTTTTAAATAAAATAAAATAAAAAATAGTCCCCACCCCCACTTATTAAATGATTTTATTTACTTTATAATTATTTGGAAATAACTCTAAATAAGGACTTTTTTAATAGAAAATCTCCCATTATTATTTAGGCTTAGATATTCCTTTAGTTAAATTAATTTCTTGTCTTTTATCTTTATTTTAAGATTATTATTATTATAAATTATAAATATTCTTTTTTTCTTTAATGTTTTCTTAACTTAAACTTTCATTTATAAATGTATATTGATTTATTTTTTTATTTTTTTATTAAAAAAGTTAAATAGTATTTTATTCATCTTTATATGCGGTTTTTATACTTTTTCTTTATTTTTTCTACTTATAGATTATTTTGTTTTCTAATTCTTATTAGAATTATTTTTTTTAATTTATTTAATTCTTACTGTCACCCTCCAAATCTTAAATACTTATATTTTCTTAATCTTCTTTTCTTTCACTTTTTTCTTTAGAAATATCATTATTTTCTTTTATTTCTTCATATGTTTCTAATTCTTCTTTTTATATGTAATTATTGTCTTATATCATTTTATTTTCTTATATATATTCCTTTTTTTTTATATATATATATATATATATATATATATATATATATATATATATATATGTTTTCTTTTTTTGTTATGAAATATACAATGTTTTATTATTCTTTAGAAATTTTGTATTCTTTGTTTTTTAATGACCTATTAGAATTGAAAGTCAACTTTTTTTAATTTAACTATTTACTTTATCTATTACTTTCTATATGTAAACTTATCTATTTTTATTATATTTATTATATTTATATGTAAAAATTAGATACTTTTTAGTTTTAAGTTGTTTTTTCATTAATATGAGTATTATCCTCATTATTAAGGGTAAATTCTTAACTTTAATTATTATTATAAGAACTTTATTTGATCTAGACAATCTAATATTAAATATTTTAGATTTATTTATTATTTTATTATAATTATTGTTCATTTTCGAATTAAATAATTTCTTAATCAATTTAATTTTAGAGAATACTCTATTAACCTCTATAAAATAACATAAAAACTAAATTCTATTTATAAATATATATATATATATTAAATACTCTGAATTATTCCTATTATTATTTAAATATATAATTTATGAAGATAAAAAATTATTTTTTGTAGTCAATTCTTTATTTAGTTTATTTTCATTTATGTTTTTATAGTCTAGATTTAAATAGATTTCTTTTTTATTTTATTATGGAGAGTTTTAGTGGATATTTATTGTATTTTTTTTCATGCTTTTTTTTATGAATTTAAAAGGAGCTTAGTTTTGCATTTTTTTCGTTATCTATTAAATAGGACTTTTTTATCTTTATTTTTCTTTCGGTTCTTAGCTTTCAAATTCATTTATTATTTTTCTTATTTCTTCATTTTATTTTTATATTTTTAAATAAAAAAATACACCGATTCCCATCCCTAAACAAAAAATATTCTTCAAAATAATTTCTTTAACTAAAATAATACATGTAGCCATCCATAAAACATTTTCTTCTGAAATATTTTCGATTTTTCTAATTAAATAAATGCTTATAAATGCTAAAAAACTTCCCAATATATACATTTTATTCAAATAATCTTCAATTTGTTACTTTTTTATTAATTTTAAGATTTCTTATTTATTTTCTTATTCTCCTAGAGCGCTTTTTTAACTAATTTAGACCAAAAAGCAATTTTTATTTTCTTGAATTTCTTATAGATTTTTATAAAATTTAAACTTAAGAATTTATTTTTAATGAATTTTTTGCTTTTTGAATAAAATAAGGAAATCCAATAGTAAAGAAATAAATAAAATAGGAAAAATCACATTTAAAGAATCTGTTTAATTATTAAAAAGAATAAAAAACAAAAGAAAAAAGAGAAAAATTTTATTTAAAAAAAACAAAAAAAAGTGTTATTTTAAATTCATATTATTCTTCTATATTTTCTTTATTTTTTTTTCAAAATAAAAAGGCTATTTTAGACCGAATTTTCTTTTTAAGATTAAAAATTCGATAAAATTATATAAAGAATTGTACAAACGGAATTGCTTTTTTATAATTATTTCTAATGTTTTCTTTCTTGAGATTTCTATAATTAATTTTGGCTTGTTTTTGGGGGTTTTTAATTATTAATTATCAATATTTAGATATTCTTTAGGTAAATTCTTTTATGTATTTTTAAACTTTTTTTTTTTTATTATTTTTTAGTTTTTATTTTTACTAATGCTTGGTTTATTTAGGAATTGTTTAAAAATAATGAACTTGTTTTATTTTAAAATTAAGATTAATCTTTTTCTATATTTTTTATTTATTTAATTTTCTTTTTCTTTTATATTATTACCTTATTATTATGACCTTTTACTCTTTAGTAAATTTTCAGATAATATGTTAATTATTTATGATATTTTACGGGTTTTTTCATTCATTATTTTATTGTAAATTATTGTTAATATTATAAAAATTGCTAATAGCAATAATATAAATGATATATTAAATGAGGAATAAGACATTTTATATTTTATTTTATTTTTTAAAAAAAGATAATTAATATTTTAAATTTTTTAATAAATATTTTAAAAAAATTAATAATTTTAAATAAATAGATTATTATTATTATTAATAAAAAATTAAATAAATAATATTTTAAAATAAGAAATTATATATATTTAATAATATATATATATATATATATATATATATATATTATTATTATATATATTTATTTTAATAATAATAATATTAATTAATAAAAACAAACTTTAATTTTTTATTATTTCATAATGCTCTTTTTTAATACATTTCTTTGTTAAAATAATTCTCTACTTTTATCTAATTTCAATAAATTAATTGTCCTATTATTAAAAAATTAATAATTTTAATTTTAATTACATATAATAATTATATTATTGTGAATTTACATTATTTATATTATTAAAAAAAACATATTTTTATAATAACATAATTATATATAAAAAAAATGTTATTAATAAGATATACGTTTTTTTATTTATTCTTTATTGTAAAATATTTAAAAGGGTATTGTTTTTAGGATCTTTCGATATATACAACCGAATCCGAAATATAATAAAAAGTTGATCTTCTTTTATAGAATCAAAAACAAAATCCAATACCAATTGAATGTCTCCAAACATTATTAAAATCAGGGTATTACAAATCCGCTTTATAATTATTTGAGGAATATTTTTCATTTGACTAGGCTTTAATAGAGAAACATCTAAATCAGATAAATTAACCAGCAACTTCCTTTAAAAAAGATTTAATGGATTTAGAAACCAATTTAATGTCCTCTAGTAGAGAAATATAAATTGTAGAGCCAGCATTTTAATGGGCTTAAAATAAATCAAATATTTTTATATAAGTAAAACTGGCAATGAGATTAGATTCACCCGCATGTTTAACTTGTAAATAGGAAAATGTTTATTTTGAAAATAATTAATTTTTGGTGAGTTTTTATGGAATTATTTCACATTAACCTGTAAGATTTTTATTAAATATAACTTTAGCGGACTATATTAATTTAAATTAAACAATATGGAATTACGAAAGTGTAGGGACTATATTCTTTAATTTACAAAAATAAAATAATAGAATTTGGCTTAAACTAGAAAAAAATAATAATAGAAAAACCTAAATTTGGTGGGCTATGAGAGAAAAATTCTAAAAAGATATGGATGAATGGAGCAGGATGATTGAAAATAATTCAGAATTTATAGAAAGGAAAGAATTAAAAAAAGCTGAATTAGATAAAAAAAAACAGAGAAAAGAAAAAAGGTTAAAATAAAAATAATAATAATAATAATAAATAAGATGATTTATAATAATAAAAAGCAAATAAAACAAATTAAAATAATAACTAAAAATAAAAAAAATATGAAGTCTCTTTTTTATAGAGGTTTTTCGATTGGATTTAAAATTTATTTTATTTAAAATGATTTTTTTATTAAGAAATTATATTTGAATATTAAAATATATATATATATATATATATATGTATATATATATATATATATATATATATATATATATTTATCCAACATACATATATATTAAATTTCGTTTATAAAAAAACTATCTTTTTATATTAATTTAAGATATTAATTATTATTTAATTTAAATGATTTTATATTAAAATAATTTAGTTTTTTTTCTAATTAAAAGTATGATTTAATTTTATATTATATTAATATAAAATTTGAATATTTTAGATTTTAGATAATTATAAAATGTCGAATTAATTTTATTTAGATATATTATAATAATAATTAAATATTATACAAAATTAATTATTATAAATAAAAAAGTTAAAATATAATAAATTAAATATTTACAAATAAATTAAAAATTTTTAAATAGAATTTTTAATTTATATTCTTTTTTATAATTATAAGAACTTAATGAAAAATATAAAATATATCTTATTTATTTATTAAATTATAATTAAAAAATATATGATATGAAAATATATGTATTTGTTATATTATAGATATTAAATATATTTTTTAATAATTAATTATAATTATATATTACATATTTCTTTTTAAGTTAATTTTTTAATAGTTTATTAATAAATAAATAGTTTAGTTATAAATATATCTAATTATTTAAATAATTTTTTTACATACAAAACAAAAATTTTAATTTTTTATATTAAAATATTTAATATTCCATTAAAAAAATTTTAAAAATAATAAAAATGAATTATTCTTATTTTAGTTATTAAAAAAATTATTAATTTAAAAAAAATCATAATTATATATATTTCTGATAATTACGTATTAAACATGAGTTTTTATTAATTAATTATATTTATAAATAAATATTTAGATTATTATATTTTTATATAAAATCTAAGTATTTTATTTAAATAAGTAAAATA